TGTTATACCTTTTATTATCGTGTCTTTTAGGATCTCCTAACCTTCTATACTCTTGGGCTTTATTTAATAGTAAGCTCCCTCCTCCACTCGCCACACTGAACCATGCTCATTAGGCTTCTTAATCCTCCATAATTTGCTTTCATGAAATCTTATACCTTTGAGTTGCTGTGTTCTATGAGCCCATTTCCTTAGTATAGCTATTCCAAGCAGCCCAGAATCAACAAGTACTGAACATAAGCTTATTTACTTTCTCAGCCAACATGACATGGGAAAAAAAAAAAAAACTGTTTTGAATGTTTATAGACCATGAAACTATACCATTTAACTTGGTGTTTTATTTTCTCACCCAAACATTGGTTGAGAAGGTTAGGACTACAGAATTAGACTATGGACACTCCTTAATGTATTAGTTACTAAGTTACAAGATTCAAGTTCTTCTTGGTCAGAAAGGTATTCTATTTTAATAGAAAAGAAATAATACGTTGACATTATGTTTCAAAACAAAACAAAACAAAAAAACTGTCAAGTCAATTCTGACTCATAGTAACCCTACAGGGCAGAGCAGAACTGCCCTGTAAGGTTTCCATGTCTATTAATCTTTATAGAAACTGATTGTCTCTTCTTTCTCCTGCAGAGTGACTGGTGGGTTTGAACTGGTGACCTTTTGGTTAACAGCTGAATGCTTTAACCACTGTATGTATTAGGAGGTCTGGTGACATAGTGCCTAAGGCATCTGACTGCTAACCAGAAGGCTGGTGGTTCAAACCCACCAGCCACTCCTTGGAAGGAAGATTGGGAGATCTACTTCTGTAGGGATACCGCCTCAGAAACCCAAGGAGGGGTGGCTATGATTCAGAAATGACTTGACAGCAGATTAGTGCCTATTAAATTACAACTATATCTTTGCCAAAAAATTCAGGAAAAGAAAAAACATCTTTCTTCAGTTATTCTGTAAGAACTCTGCTTTTCCAAGTGGTTTGTTTTTGAAAGACAAGTGCACGTTCTTTAAATGTGACTACCGCGGGATTTTTTAAGAGCTCATCCTCTGTTTTTTTGTTTTGTTTTGTTTTGTTTTTCCCATTATACTCATCACTATCACTTTTGCTGACAGGATGTACAGAATGGGAGAGAGCATATATTTTGGATTTTTCCCCCCTGGGAACCTTGGTTAAAAAAAAGAAAAAAAAAAAATCTTGGGAGTAGATTGAAAGAGTTAATGAAGTTTCCAAAGGTGCCTAGTTTATTCAAGCAAAGTTTATACTTCAACCCTGTGCATTTTAACTTGTGATCCTCCCCATCCAGATGACAGAAAGCAAAGCCAGTAAGTTCTATATTTAATTGGTTTGCATCCACACACTGACCTCCAGGGCTCTGTTTACATAGCCTATCATGCAATATGCTCCACAGTTCTCTGCCTCTTTCAAAAGCATGTTTCTCCTGAGATTTGATATATGGCTTTCATTTTTAATCACGACATTAAACTCAATGCTCTGCTTCCTCCAGCATCAACTAACTTCCCTTCTTGGGAGGTGGGGAGAAGAGCACAGCTTCTTGCTACTTCTGAACATAAAAGGAAGGCTCTTTTACTCTATTAGTAGTATTACCAAACCCACATGATTTTAGGCAAGCAACATTACTACATCAACTAGGAAATAATATTAAAAATAGAATCCTAAAGCTCCTGTAGAAAGAACGTAGGCTCTGTTTTCAACTGGCAAAGCCAAAAACTTGAGGTGATTGTGAGTTTTATACCAATCAGTATATAACTCAGTATACACAGAACACACAGCTAGATACAAGCTGAAGTTTTAACCAAATGAACCCTGAAGACAGAACATTCCTGAGGTTCTCAAAACAGAATTAATTCAACACTTCTGCCTTCCAGTTGAAAGTTTTTGTTTTTATTTTAACCACACAATTCACCACAAATAGAACTTTCAAAGTCTCTTTGACTGATGTGGACATGCCGATGGCACAATCCTTTCCATATAAAATGTGTATATGATCCAAATTCCTAAAATAAATGAAACCTAAAAAAAATAATAATAATTTCCTTCTTTCAAAAAATCCAATCTATAATTTTCAGATTTTAAATGGAATGTATGTGTTTTATTTTAAAATACTTCAAATTAGCAACAGTAAAATCCAGATGATGGGTGCTCAGTACACTTACGTCCTCTACTTTTCTGTATGTTTTAAAGTTTTCATTATAAAAGTTCTTAAACTTTTTTTAATGAAAATTAAAAAGAAAAAAAAAAAAGATTTGCTTTTGCAGAGTAAACTGATACAATCCTGATATGAAAGTGTTTAAATCACTTTCTAAGGTTGATCATTTTGATATACATTCAAACGACTGAAAATTATTACCATGTGCTAATAATGCAAGCTTTCCCTCCTTTCTCCTGAATCTCATTCCATAGTCTGAAATTCATCTACACAAACTATAAAATATTACACAGTAAGCTCTGCATAAGTTGGGTACATTCCTTGAAAAATGAAATATATACCTCTACCTACAAACACAAACACACGTGTATATACTGTATAAAATCTGACTTTGAAATCCTTTCCTTTATGATTAGTTATTGACCATAGAATTTATTTTTTAAGATTTTATTTTTCTTGGTAAGATTCAAATCTTTCTGCATTTAAAAAACTCAGGGCCCCTATTAGGAACCCTGTGATAGCTGTCTACATTAAACAAAGATGGTTTACTCTATGCATGTGACAAACAATAGAGAATCTGAACCTGTTAAAGGCATACATTTAATTGTTCCAAGATGCTACCTGCACATTGCACGATACAGAATACCAAAAAATAAATTTCCGGCTTCCTTTGTTCCTTTGTCATGATTTCCTCACTCAGTAGTAAGTTAAAGGAGCATATTCCAAAAAGAATTAACTGTTTCTTTATTTGGGATTATCTGAATTCTTTCCACAACACATTTAAATTCAAAATAAAAGGAGAAATAAACTTGTAATCAATATTCCCCACAAGACTTCTCAGAGTACAGAAGTTTGTAGTTTTCAATGACATTCAGATGTTGTCCATGATGATGTTGTTGTTGTTATGTTCTGTCGAGTCTGCCCCGACTCATAGTGACCCCTCCTTGGGTTTCGGAGGCGGTATCACTGCAGAAGTAGATTGCCCAACCTTCCTTCCAAGGAGTGACTGGTGAGTTTGAACTGCCAGCCTTCTGGTTAGCAGTCAAGTGCCTTAAGCACTATGCTACCAGAGCTCCTAATAGGCATTTAAAAAAATTAAGAGTCATGGACAAAATCTTTAGTCATAACAATGAAGGATGTATGCCTGTACAGATGTTATAACTATTTTCATGATAAATATTAACTTTCAGCATAGGAATTCAGCAGCACACTTTAATTTGGATTTGAAAATTTAACATAAATTATCTGATTTTGACAATGGCTGCCTAGTATTTCAGTTTTGTATACTATTTCCAGGTTCTACTTTAAAAATGAACCTGGTAGACTTTTTTATTTTTAAAAGCTATATTCCAGATCCTGTACCCAAAGGACCAGTTTCTGACTTGATGTTTAGGCATTTAAATACACAACAGATCATGATAAAGTAGATCCTTAATAAATTTTGATGATTGACTGGCAATGATGGAAAAAAGAAAGCCATGATTGTTAGGTAAAAATTCATTCTCCATAAGTTTTAAGAGGTATACAGCCAGCATTAATTTATTTTTAATTATACTTAAAGATCTTAACTATTAAAAAAGTGAAAAAGACTTTTCACCCTATTTTGAGTGAATCAAAAAAGAGTCAAATAGTTGATGCCATGCTACCATGTCTTTAGTTTCCATACAATCAATACTGTTAATCAGAAATGTTTGTCTTATACTATCACTGGCACATGCCATAACGAAGTTTAAGAACATAGAGAATGGAAAGATTTCTGGAATCACGGTTCTCAAACAAAGGTGAAATTGTTAGCTCAAATACACAAACTTCCTATTTCAAGAGTTTTACCAAGTTGTAGAAATTAATAAAGCTGTACAATAAAAGATGAAGCTTATGAAGAAAGAAAGCACGTTAGCTCCTTACCACCACTATCAAAAAAGAATATAATCACTTGGCTCTTTTGTGGACTTAAGCAACAGTATTTTTTTTTTTAATTTAAAAATAGAACTAAAATCAGAGTCAGTATGTTACTTATAAATTAAACAAGGTTTTTTCCCTGAAAATTATTTTCTCCTGTAATTAAAAATGAGTGTTTATTTATCTATTAAAAGTTTACCAAACAGAATAATTCCTTTGTACCTAACATGAGGCTTACTTTTTTTTTCACTTTAATTAAAAACACCATTAGAAATTCTGAACCATATAAATCTCAGCAAGTGACATAAAGACACAGTCACATCCAAGCAGTGTATGGTACTTGATGCTTAAAGAGAAAACATCTAATAAAGCTGATATACCACTGTTTGTGAGAATGTAAATTTTTCCTTGATATATATAAAATAAGTGCTTATGGTGACTTTAATTTTCCATACCCCTACCTACAACAAAAAATACTAAAAAAAAAAAAAAAACAGCTACTAAATAATAGACAAATTTCTATTTCTACTGGCTGAAAGTATAGTTTGCTGCATTAAATGCATCCATCACCCACATTTGATGACAAATCACTTGCAGAGGACAGTCAAATTATTCAGGATGCTTTGTCCACTAAGAAAATAATTTATTCTTTTGTGAGCAATGAGTACGTATAACCCCCACCTCTGCTTTGAAAATGAAACTCTGCAGATATAGAACATTTAATACCTCTTGCAGAACTATCAAGAATACCAAAGTGAACATTTCCAGTTATGATTTGAAGCAGCCAATAGCCCTGCTTTGAGGTAGGGTGAATGTTTTGAAAAGAGACTGCCCAGTCTGTTTAAAATCAAAATGGTCCTTGATCTGATGAATTACTCCTCAGAGAATAATGTAAATAAAATATACTCAGAATAACATTATTAATGTAAACATACCTGAACCGGAGTCAAATTTGGTTTCTGACCTGCAAAGGGAAAGAAATTTTTTACAATATAAAAACTGTAAAAGAACAACAGTTATGCTATAGAGGGAAAAAAAAAGATTAGTTATAGCTTTCAGTACATTGATCAACAAGTAAAATAGCTTTCTAAAATGTAAACATATATTTATTTTAAGCATTTCAAATGCATGCATTACCCTAGGTCCTATAAATACATACATATTCATACAATAGCACAATATAGAAAATACATGAACTTTTTTTAGTTTGCTCTTGAAAGAAGGTAAATTATATTCAAATAGCACCTGATATCTTCACATGAACTTATTTCAGTAATACAATTATGCAATGAGAAAAAAACAAATTTGTAATTATCCTCTGTGTTTATTATTAAAGATTTTCAATTTATCAACACACGTAATTTTTCACTAAGCTCTTAGCATGGAGTAAATGAACCTAGTAACCCCATACATTTAATAAGGAGAAAAAACTCTGAGCCTTTGTGGGAACACTATGTTTTAGATATAGGTTAATACTGGTTGTAAATTCAGAAGCCTTTGAAGCTCTCAGTTTGGCTGTGGGAAAACTTCTGTTGGGTAATTACTCTCAAGATGCTGCTGATGTGCTGTCAAGCAGAATTAACCCCATCACTAGGCCTATCTACCCAAGCTACTATGAGACAGCATTGTCTATATCTAACCTTCAAACCAATTAGTGGGCATGCTCCAGTCGGATTTATATCATACATTAACAATCAACAGCATATATGTTCACAGCTGCCACAGCAAGATAGAAGAACCAACCAGCAGGAGTCCTGGTAAAGGATGTTACATTGACAGAAAAGTTTTTTGTTTTTCTTTTTCAGGAGAAATTTAGTTAACTAAGTGGAAAAGGGGATTTCTTTGAAATTATGCCAAGGTACCAAAGCACCTTTGGAAGTAGTGGCTTTTTTCACCTAAATAAGCTTCAAGAGAAATCATCAAAGGGGATAAAAGGGCAATAAGAAGCTTCCATGGCCAAAAAACATCATTTTCTCAAGTATTCTCAAAGTTTCACCTGATGTTTAAACAAAGTCAACAACAGTATAAAAATGTAATTATTGCAACCATGGTTATCAATAACCAATACCGTATTCCAGGTCTACATTTTTCCCAAGCCCTAGCCCCACCCACAGTTCTCATTCTCAAGCCTTCTTTTAAATGTCCCTGCCTCCTATTCCTGGTACAAATCCATTTTCACTTTTTGTCTTCTCGCCTATTATGTAAGAGTTCTGGTGGCTCAGTGCCTAAGGTATCCAGACAGTTGGTGGTTCAAACCCACTAGCCACTCCGTGGAAGAAAGACTGGGTAATCTACTTCCATAAAGATTTACAGCCTCGGAAACCTAAAGGGGGTCACTATGAGTCAGAATCAACTCAATGGCAGTGAGTTTGGTGTTTGGTTTTTGGTCTTCTGTGTTTCCACACTCCTTGAGCATAACTCTAAATAACATATAACCACACATCTTATCCTGCTCATTTCCTTGTCTATCTTCCCAACAAAACTGTTGCCATTGTTTTCAGATGACGTCAAGTTGGTTCTGACTCACAGGACCCCTATGTACAACAGAACGAGACACTGCTGGTTATGCATCATCCTCATAATTGTTTCCATGCTTGAGTCCATCGGGGCAGTCACTGTGTCAATCCATCTCACTGAGGGTTTTCCCCTTTTTTTGCTGACCTTCTGCTTTGCAGAGCATGATATTCTTTTCCAGGTACTGCTTCCTTCTGACAACACGACAAAAGTATAAGAGACAAAGTTTGGCCATTCTCACTATTCTAAGGAGCATTCAGCTGTACTTCCTCCAAGACAGATTTGTTCATTCTTCTAGCAGTGCATGATACATTCAATATTCTTCACCACCATCACAATCCAAATCCATCAATTCTTCTGCAGTCCTCCTTATTCACTGTTAGGCTCTCATGTGCATATGGGGCTATTGAAAATACCATAGCTTAGGTCAGGCCCAACTGTAACTATGCCTTATTGTCCTTAGTACCTACTCACTCGCTCACTCACTCACTGTCGTCGGGTTGATTCCGACTTATAACGACCCTTACTTCTATTTCTGAGGCAGTATCTCTACAGAAGGAGCTTGCCCAGTCTTCCTCCTGAGGAGTGGCTTGTGGGTTTGAACCTCCAGCCTTCTGGTCAGCAGTCAAATGCTTAGGCACTACGCCACCAAAGCTTCTTAAGTAGCTATGGTATCTAAATAACGCCTGGTGCTTCTGTTCAACAAATGCCTGTTGAGGGAAACTTCTGCATCCACACACATCCTTATTTCCTTCTTAACTATATAAAATCCAGAGGTGTTCTTCTGTCTAAGGTTTCCTCCACCTGAATCCTAAAAATGCTTTCTTTCATCTCCTCTGAAACCTGTCTGCATTAATTGTTACTTCTCCTGTATCTGCAACATCTGGCTCTCCAGGAGTTCCTCTTCCTTTTAGTGTATAAATATTCCAGAATTAAATAAAAGTCCTCCTTCAAATCTGTGCCCAGTTTTCATTACAGATTCAAACACCAGAAAGGATAGATATTAGGAGAATTCAAGTATCAGTGATAATTTTTTTAAATAATTTATTTTGTTGTTTTTGAGAAAATACACACACAGCAAAAAGCATGTTGTTGTTGTTGCTGTTATGTGCCGTCGAGTGGGATCCGACTCATAGCAACCCATCCTTGGGTTTCCAAGGCAGTATCACTATGGAAGTAGATTGCCCAACCTTCTTTCCGAGGAGTGGCTGGTGGGTTTGAACCACCAGCCTTCTGGTTAGTAGTCGAGTGCCTTAGGCACTACACTAGCAGAGCTCCTAGCAAAAGCATACACCAATTCAAGTTTCTACAAGCATATCTCAGTGACAGTGATTACATTCTTTGAGTTATGTAACAATTCTCATTCTCCTTTTCTGAGTTGTTCCTCCTCTTTTAAAATATAATTATTAAAAAAAAAATTATTGCAAATATTGTTATCAATAACCAACATTGTAATCCAGATCTACATTCTTCCCAAGCCCTGGCCCGACCATAGTCCTCATTCTTAAGCCTTCTCTTAGATGAATTATCTTCAGCAAGATTTTACTTGAGTGTGATGTTAATGATACTGTTTGATAATTTCCACATTCTCACCTTTCTTTGAAATGGATATAAATATGGATACTTTCCAGTCAGTCAGCCAGGTACTTTCCAAATTTCTTGGCATAGACAAGTGAGTGCCTCCAGCACAGCATCCATTTGTTGAAACATCTCAATGGCTATTGTATCAATTCCTGGAGCCTTGTTCTTTGCCAAATCCTTCAGTGCAGCTTCAACCTTTTCCATCAATACCATTGGTTCTTGATCATATGCCACTTCCTGCAATGGATGAACATCGACCAATTCTTTTTGGTACAGTGACTCTGTGTATTCCTTCCATCTTCTTTGGATGTTTCCTGCATCATTCAATATTTTGCCCATAGAATCTTTTAATATTGCAACTCGAGGCTTAAATTTTTTCTTCAGTTCTTTCAGCTTGAGAAATGCCAACCTTGTTCTTCCCTTTTGGTTTTCTAACTCCAGGTCTTCGCACATTTCATTATAATAGTTGGCTTTGTCTTCTCAAGCTGCTTTTTGAAATCTTTTGTTCAGCACTTTCATCTTGTCATTTCTTCCATTTGCTTTGGCTACTCTCCATTCAAGGGCAAGTTTCAGAGTCCATGGTGGTCTTTTCTTCCTTTCCTGTCTTTTTAATGATCTTTTGCTTTCTTCATGGATGATGTTCTTGATATCATCCCACCATTCCTCTCGTTTTTGGTCATTCTTTTGTTCAATACATTAAATCTATTCCTTAGATGGTCTCTAAATTCAGGAGGGATAGAATCAAGGTCATATTTTGGCTCTTGTGGACTTGTTTTAATTGTCTTCAGCTTCAACTTGAACTTGTATATGAGCAACTGATGGTATATTCCACAGTCAGCTCCTGGGCTTGTTTTGGCTGTAGATATTGAGTTTCTCCATCACCTATTTCTATAGATGTAGTCGACCTACTCCTGTGTACTCCATCTGGCAAAATTCACTTGTATAGCCATCATTTGTGTTGTTGAAAAAAGGCATTTACAATGAATAAATCATTGGTCTTGCAATATTCTATCATGTGATGTCCAGCGTTATTTCTATCACCAAGGTCATATTTTCCAACTACCAGTGATTCTTCTTTGTTTTGAACTTTTGCATTCCAATCATCAAGGATAATCAACACATCTTGCCTGCATGTTTAGTCAATTTTAGCCCACAGAAGTTGGTTGGAATCTTCAATTTCCTTGTCTTTGGCTTTGGTGCTTGGTGCATAAATTTGAACAATAGAAGGATTAACTGGTCTTCCTTGTAGGCATATGGATATTATCCTATCACTGACAGCATTGTACTTCAGGATAGCTCTTGAGACATTCTTCATGATGAGCAATGCCACACTATTCCTCTTCAATTTGTCATTCCCAGCATTGTAGATCATATGGTTGTCTGATTGAAAATGGCCAAAGCCAGTCCATTTCAGCACACTAATGCCTAGGATACTGATCTTTATGCATTCCATTTCATTTTTGACAACTTCCAATTTTCCCAGATTCATACTTCATACATTCCATGTTCCCATTATGAATGGATATTTGCAGCTGTTTCTCTTCAATTTGAGTTGTGCCACATCAGCAAATGGAGGTCCTGAAAGCTTTATTCTATCAACATCATTAAGGTCAGCTCTACTCTGAGGGGGCAGCTTTTCCGCAGTCGTATCATGAGTGCCTTCTGACCTGAGGGGCTCATCTTCTGGCACTGTATTGGACAATGTTTCAGGGCTATTCATAAAGTTTTCCAGTAATATATCATACAGTGTTTCAGTGCTATTCAAAAGTTTTCACTGGCCAGTTCTTTGAGAAATGGATGGCCCCTTCCTTCTTCTGAGTCTATCTTAGTCTGCAAGATCCACTGAAACCTGTCCACCATGGGTGACCC